GATCCTTGGATCGTCACATAGGGGGGTGAACTCAGACTTTTTGTAACGTTATTAATCCAAGTTTTTGTGATAAAAAAGATTTGGTGATAAACTCTGTTGACCAGAAAATTCAACTAAGGGCACTCCAAGTATTCTGGTTTATTAGGTTTCTGTTATAAATAATAATCTTCTCCAAATCCATTATAAGTTGTTGCTATTTTCTAGGTTGCCCCTGGCTCCATAAAACCTTGGGGAGTAGGTAGAGGTGATCACAGATTGCCTTCTGGGAATTCATGAAACTAGTGACACTGAATGAAAAATTCAATGACTATATATATATAATAACTATATATACATAACTATACACGCACACACACCCTTATTTAAGTGTGCATAGAAAGTGTCCGGAAGGAAACACCAAACTGGTAACAGGAACTATTTCCGGGAAGAGAGATTTTTTTAACAGCAGAAGGCAAGGGAGACTTACTTTTTGTTCCATACAATCTTTGTAGTGATGTAAAAATTAAATAATAATTTTTTAATGAGCATGTATTACTTTTATAATTAAAATGTAAAAAAAAAAAAATCTGATCTCTGTTCTAGTGAGACCATGGATGGACCATGTTGAGAAAACCATAATAATGAGGAAGTAGCTGCTACCAAATTCACCATAGACATCGTTACAATGAATTAATGGCCAAGAGTTATGATGTATTTAGCAAGCTTGGGTCATGGTTGTCCAGCTAGGATAAGGATAATTTACTGCCCACCTCAGTACTGTGGACAGCCAGGAAGCTCCATGTGGCAGCATACTCATCTTGCACATTGCACCCAGAGATGGGTGGCATTGAGTGGACAGTGAGGTCAAGGTCCTCAGAAACAGCATCAGGCTCTACAAAGAGCATCAGCAGCCTCAGCTCAGAGAAAGATCTAACATGGATGCAGGTTGCAAGTGACATTGGACCTTGCAGCCCCAAGGTCACAGCTGCATACAAAAATCATCACTGTAGGAATTGTCATCATCTAAATACAATGAACAAGGACAGAGAATTTTTTTACAAGCACACAGTATTCTTTTGAAGGGTCTGGCAAGTAGAACATAAAGATGGAAGATGGTACCCTGAAGTCTCTTCCTGACCACGGCCTTATGTAAGTCCTCTGCCCTTTCTGTCCAGATGTTTCCCCATTTTGACAAGATGATAAAATAGCTTTTACCAAAAGCCTCCAAATCAGTCATTCTGAGTTCAGTGCCAAATCTTAGCCATGGTTCTAAAAATAGCCAGTATATGAATCATATAAAATCTCTAAATTTATTTTTATTTCTTTAATATAAAAGCAATATAATAAACAAGCATTAAGGATTTTTCATTTTTCAGCCTAAATTTCCTTTAAACAGTTTCATCTCTAATCCACTTGTGCAATCAAATCCATATTTCCCCCATTTCATTTCTCCCCCACCTGCATCCTATGAATCAACAGAACTTGAAACCATAACATAGGAAACAGAAAACTAGCCAAGGGCAGGTAAAAGAGAAACAAAAGGCCTAATTATAGCCTGGGTAGGTAAATCATGTAAATATCCATATTTTATCATCTGCTCATGTACAGGTTGAGTATTTTATTCTGATAATATATGTACTGAACTTATAAATTATGTCAGTTGCCACCATTTATCTGACAGGAAGCAGGCCCAGGCAGGATCCTTTGTAACAAAGGCTAGCTCAGCACTGCACATAGCTGTGATTCTATGAGAGACAATTATGGCCAAACCCAGATAAGGATGAACTGACTGCACTTAGATAAAAATTGCTCTCTCTCAAATCCTGAGGTAAAAAACTGTATAATTTGCAACTAGAGTTAAGCGCAAGCTAATTATGTCCTATTTGGGTTTTCCCTTCTGCTGGCTAAATCACCAGCTAAAATATCTGAAAACCTTGGCTGGAAAGTTGGACAACTAAGAATTATAAGGTGACAATTGTCCCACAAAGGCCCATTCTTCCAGTAACCTATTCTTTTAGGAAAATATTCAATCATTTCTGAGCTGACTCTGGAAGGCTTCCTTCTATATCCTGTCCCTTCACTGGTCGAGATATTTATTGTGCACTTCAGAAAACAATATTTTCTAACAACTGTTTAATATTTATTTTCCTTTTATTTGTATTTATATTCAGTTTTCCAAATTTTCACTCAGGTCTAAAAAAAGAACTTCAATAACTAATAGCGTGACACAATGTCAGCTATTTAAGATTTCAGATACTCAACATCATCCTTTGCTTTTCGCCGCCTTCTTGCATTTTGGGGAGAATAAGTTAAACTAAATTTTAAAATGCTGTAATCCTTTTTGAATCATCATTAAAATAAAACTGAGGGAACAGAGGTTATATAAAGGAAAGAGGAGGCTATAATGGTGGAATTTAAGCCTTCACTGACGACGCCAATAAGAACCAGGGCTTCCAAGAAAAGCCAGTCCTGAGAATAAGGCCAAATCCTTTGCTCCTTATCTACATGAAACTACTTAAATCTGGAGTTTCTTTCTGACTTTATTCGGAAAGCAACTTTTGGCCTGCCTGGACTATTTCTAATCAGACTGGAGTTACAGTGCTTATTGCTCAAACAGGGACAACTGTACAAGGCCCAATTCAGGCTGAAGATTATTTTTATTTTGCCCCACATTTCCTGAACTCAAAATAAAGTGGTTTTAACCTAGGGTTACAGAAGTAGGAAACCTAATGGGGTCTGCTGGGACCCTTATGCCAGTTTTCTCCTTCCATGGTCCTTTCTCTATGCTTGCACTACGCCCAGGGAGATGTCCTGGTTTAAATAAATATCCCCTGCAAAAATTTCCAAAAGCAAATTAATCCCCCAAAATACAAAAAACAGATAATATCCAATGAGGCAAGAAAGGGAGTGACTTATTCTTATACTTTCTTAGATGGAATACAAACTAACACAACCTTTCTGGAGAGAGCAATTTGGTAACGTTTATCGAAGTCTTAAAAACCATGTACTCCACTTCCAGGAATTTATTCAGGGAAAGTCAAGTCAACACAAAAGACTATAATAAACCTATACTCCTTTGGTAATCAGAAATTAAAAATCACCAGTAAATATAAAACATATGCAAACGGCCTGTCCAAAACCACTTGCATTCAAGTGTTTAGTGTCCAATGTGGGGACTACCTTCAGCAACCAGTTTCCTTTTATTATTATTATTATATTATTCTGAAAAACTCAGTACACATTAACAGTTTTTCCAATGACCTAGGGTTTGTGGATATAGTAAAAAAGTCCCACGTCCACTTTTGTGGCTATTACTTTCATAGGATGACCTAAAAAGAGCTTCAAACCACGACAATGATTTCCTCTCCCTATGGGCCCAGGGACTGTTCATTCAGGCTTCCACTGACTTTCACTGGAGATGTGAGTCAATACTAATATGGTAGCTACAGTTCTTCCTTCCAATGACATTTGGAATCTCATTATCTGATGAGATATTAGATATTCTTTTCCTCTATTTTATAGCAGGAGACATTATCTGAATTCTCCCGGATCATATGACAGTAGCCCTGGGAACAGAAAGCAAGTTTTAACAGTTCTTTGGCCAAACCACATGCCTTTTCTGAATCTATTTACCATACTGTTTCAAGATGTTTTCTGAAGAGTCCACAGGAGCTACATTTAAAACCTTCTGGTCATTGTTTGCTAACTACTGGGATGGTTTTAATCAGGGAGGAAGCCAATATTTTCAGCTTCGGTGTTGGAAGAGCTCCTAAAATGTCTCCAAACTGATTTAGAAGAAAATGCTTAACAGAAGGGGACTTATTCCTGCCCTGGAATAAACTCATTAGAGCTGACATATGCTGTAACCACAGACCAAGAGAACTACATTTTTTGAACACATTACATCCCAAAGGCAACTGAGGTTTCTAAATGTTATCTGTATCAGATGACAAAACCTGTTCAACAAGGACCATAGCCTCAATATACTGGTTGACAGCTTCCTCCTCTTAGAATATTCTTGGTGTTTGATATAACTTCTTTTCTAGGACCTAGTTTTTTCACTAGTTTTCCTGATGAAATTTCCTTTTTTTTTCCTTTTTCTTTTTGTGAGGAAGATCAGCCCTGAGCTAACATCCGTGCTAATCCTCCTCTTTTTGCTGAGGAAGACTGGCTCTGAGCTAACATCTATTGCCAATCCTCCTCCTTTTTGTTTTTCCTCAAAGCCCCAGTAGATAGTTGTACGTCATAGTTGCACATCCTTCTAGTTGCTGTATGTGGGACGCGGCCTCAGCATGGCCAGAGAAGTGGTGGTCGGTGCGCGCCCGGGATCCGAACCCGGGCCACCAGTAGCGGAGCGGGCGCACTTAACTGCTGAGCCACGGGACCTGAAGACATTTTCTTATAGAGGTTTCATTTGATGACTCAGGTAAAACTTTCTGAGGTAAAAGATGGCACATCCCCTCAGTAGACATTTTTCCCTTCCCACTATCCTGACTTGAGGTGAGTGAAAGGAGTCCCTTTGTGATGAGGCCAGTTCAGTTGTAGGTTCCAGAAAAGCCCATGTTTCTCAGTAGCTCAGATCAAACCACACCCCCAGATTTAGGCAGAACTAATCCAAATGCCTGAATCAGTTCCAGAAGCATCTAGGTTTTACTAGGGTCAGTAAACCTCTTCTAAGTTAGGCAGACTCCTCTAGGCCTCAGCTCAGCAGGCATGGTGTTTGGTCAGCCTTGTATTTGCATGAGAAAAATGTTTTCTTCCCACTTTTCTAATTCTTGCATGATTTATCATGTGTAAATCCCTAAAATCTCACTCAGGAACAAACCACCATAGCAAGGGTTTTTAAGTTGACCCCATCCCAGTCCTACTGAACCCAAGTCTCTGGGGATAGGGTCCTGGAAGCCTCCTTTTTTTTTTTTTCCCAATGCTTTCATGAGTGCCTCTGCATGCTGAAGTGTAAGACCCTCTGCAGTAGAACAACTGTAAGAGTGAATGAAAGGGAGAAAGAAGTCCCAGCAAACAGAGGCAAGAAGGATTTGAATTTGAAGATTTAATACTAATGGGGGAATAAGATTTAAAAAAAAAACAAAACAGGTCACTGGGGAGGGATCATGAACACCTTTGCTTCAACAACTCCATCTTCAGCTAGGCTGGCTGCATCAGTGTGCTGATACTTTCTTCTACCTCTGAGAGCTTCTTCAGGACTTGGTTGACCTTGATCTCATCAAATTCCAAACACAGAAATTCAGATGCCTGGAAAACATAAAGGATGTTTTAGAAGAGACCCTCAAGATAGCCAAGGTTCTGGATCTGCTGTGACCCTGCTCCAAAGGCCCAGGGCCCCTACCCAACAAGCCTGACTCAGGCCTCAATACCTAGATAATAGTTTACCCAGCAAAGCAAATCTATACAATGCCTTAAATGAAACTACTTCTATGAGGTGTTTCTTAAATGGTAAAGAGGCATACAAATGTTAGGTGCTCTCATTATGAGGCATATGAGAAGCTCTTCTTTTCTGTCATCAGATTTGATCCCAAAATAATTTTTTTTTTTCGTGAGGAAGATTGGCCCTGAGCTAACATCTGTGCCAATTTTCCTCCATTTCGTATGTGGGAGGCTGCCATAGCATGGCTGGTGAGTGACGTAGGTTTGCACCCAGGATCTGAACCTGTGAACCCCGGGCCGCCGAAGCGGAGCGCATGAACTTAACCACTACGCCACCGGGCTGGCCCACAAGGGCAAATTACTTGTATCCAATTAACCACGTAATTTTAGAGCAGTATAAATTCTTAGAGATCATATAATTGAACTGCTTTGTTTTTTAGATAATAAAATTGAGGCCCCAGGCATGTTAAATGACATGCCTATTGTCCCTCTGTTTGCTGATGGCAGAGCCACCAGATCAATGCTCTTTTCTCTACACTTTCCTCTCTAAATACTATGGCATTACTCACCCCTACCCCCAAAGTGGCACGTAAAGTAAGACCAACAAGCTTCTTCAGAGGGAGGGAGACACTCTCATCTGCTAGAAGAACCTATAGGAGTTGATTTTGGAAAAGTGCCTTTGCTGTTGTTAAGCTGCTGAGCTGAGTCTATACTGACGGCACTGAACATCCACCAGCAGAAACAAATGCAGAGAGAAGAAGGGGCCTCTTAAATAAAAGTCTTCCAGAGGGAGGAAAGGCAGCTTTCCCTGACTATAGGGAACTGCCATCCTCAAACATGTATTTGGGTAGGAGAGGGGTATAGTCTCATATGCAAGCTTAGAAACTGCCAGGTTTCATTTAGTCGAAAGCAAAAACAAATTTAAAAAAAAAAGAAGCTCCCTGTGTGTGAGCTGCAGAAAAGATTATCTCCTTTTGGAAAGAAGAGTAAATCTATGGCAAATTAGGCCATAAATTTGGCCTAAATTAAGTACGGGTCTCAGATTTGAAAGCTACCTATTCTTCATTCAGTTTTATTGAGATCTTTAGCCTGACTTTAAATACTTTAAAATATTTTTTAACATGTGGCCTTTGAAACAACGGTCTAGAAACTAATAATTACCAGAGTCTAACATATATATTCAGGAAATTGGCAGAAAAGATGATGTAATCCATGTTTCACCTCAGTGACAGAAAGTCAGTTATAATAATAAATCACCCGGTTTTCCATTTATATGGGAAGAGATTATTAAGGATAATGTTCATAGAGACAAGAATACCGGAGCAGAGTTTATTAATAAATAGCCAGGATCTTTTCTGACTAGGGGTCATTAATTTGTTGTAGGTTTCAGTACTCAGATTATCTTTGTTTGGACCTCTATGCATCAATGAAGCTCAGTTTATTTTTAAGGGAAATCATATACTAGAGAGAAATAGCAGGCTAGATAAAGAGAGTCCAAAGCTAAACAAATATTTTATATTCACTCCCAACTTTCACTTCTCTCCCCTTGAAACAATGCACACTGTCTTAAAAAGACACATATAACCATACATGACTCTTTAAGAAACAGTTTACCTGAAACTGCATCATCAAGGCCTACCTTCATCTAGCTATGCTTTGAAAATATTTTATCAGGTATTCAAGAGCCTTTAAACTCAGGCTCAACACATGGGGCTTTGTTCAAATTTTGCATTTGGTTGGGGTATCCTACAGAAAGTACATCTAATGCATTTGAAAATATCTTTGGAAATGCAGTTGATGCTTACCAAGCCAGAGACAGAAAGTACAAGAGCAATTTGAAACACCTAATTTTTTTCAAAGTGTTCCACTCTGATCTGGGCCTAACTGCTCATAATAACACAAAATGACAAGAAGACTAAATTCCTGTATTTAAGTATCTGAGTTAGAACCTGCTACTTTTTAGTATAGTGTAGATACAGCATGGGGTAGAGTCAGAAAGTGGTTAAGTGATGAATAAGCAAGCACATCATTATTAAGAATATTAAGATCACTTTGTGATCATGGGGAGTATGCCAATGTATTAAACTCAGTTTAAATAACCATTCCAAATTATAACTGAAAAGAAGGCAAAGGCAAAATATTCTCTCCAAGTGCAAAAGCTAAAAACTCATAAAATCCTAAGAAGAGATTCTTGAGAGGCCACTCTCTCCAAATCAACACAAAAACCCAAGCTAGCTATAGTGACTTCCAGTGAAGGACATCTCACAGTTCCTAACAAACTCCTTTCCCAGCTAACCACTCTAACATTCTTCAGGAAACTCTTACTTGTCAAGCCTAAATCTTTAATGCTTTAGCTTAAACTCATTTCCTAGCAGGGTCAGAGAGCACAACTGATTAGTTTATATAATAATCGAAGGCTGTTATTAAGCAAGTGTTTGGTTTTCTCCATCTACACACTAAATAACCTCTTTTACGTATAATGTCCATTTAAATGACTTCCTTATCTAGGCCCATAAGCATAACCTTAGCAATTCTTTGGCAAAACAATACTACAGTGACAAAATGCTAAAAATAGAACATAAAAAGAACTATGACTAATTAAATACCCAATTGGAACCATTTAGAGTAAATTCAACATAAAACAAAATAGAAATCCTATAGCCTATTTTCTATATTATTATTATTTCCCGTGCAAAATTTCCACAAAGCTTTCTCCCCAATTAGTTGATAATATTTAGCATTATCGTACAACTTTGGCAAGTTCTAACATGTTGTGGTTTCTTTAAAAAATGCTAAAGTTGGGGGATGGCAGGTGAGAGTGGGAAAGGGTACCTTAGGATCCTGCTAACTAATACTGATTCAAGAAGGCTACATACAGCTGGCCAGATTTCATAAGGCTTATTCCCCAATTTTTTTCTTTTGGTTTCATTTATTGACACAAAGGGACTCTTGGCTGAGCATGAACTTCAGCCATGAGGCCTATCTTTGGGTTGTCCTTTCATAAACTTGAATTAACAACTCTCTAATCTGCAGCTCTGCCTCTCTGTGCCTTCTGTGTTTAACAACTGGAGAGAGAACGATAACATGCGGCAAAGGTCAAAATTGGCAATGGCTTCTTGAAAAGCAATTATATAATAAATAAGATACCCAGTAGCTTTGAACATTGCCCACTAAGGAAGTTCAAAACATCTTCATAAGTAACCTGTGTTCACCACTCATTCCCATACTTCCTGTGGCTTTTTCAGAATTATATATTGATACTGTTCCCTAACTCCTTCAGGGGACCTTGAAATAGCTTCTCTGTAAGCAAACGATCTTCCAAGTTCCTTCCCAAGGAACCATTTATCAAAAATTAAAATTTTATAGTTCCCTGAAAACTGTGTTGATTATTCTCCACTTGTCCTTTCATACCCATTCTTCACCCTTCTCTGCCTTGTTCCATGTCTTGTGAGGCTGTTCTTTAAGACTGTGTCATTTCCTAGTTCTCTGGCTTACAACTGGGTTCAGGCAAGAGGATAAAAAGGCGACGATATTTATTTCCCACCCCCCAACTCCTTCCCTGCCACTTCCAATATTTTCTATGTGGGGGTATTGTTTCTTCATTTCCTACTTTACTTTCTGGCTTCAATCACTACTTCAGTATAAACACAAAGACAAGTCTCTTGGGGCGTGCCCCATGGCTTAGTGGTTAAGTTTTGCGTGCTCAGCTTCAGTGGCCTGGGTTTGCTCCCAGGCGAAGACCTATACCACTTGTCGGCGGCCATACTGTGGCGGCAACCCACATACAAAATAGAGGAAGATTGGTGGCGGATGTTCGTTAGCTCAGCTCAAATATTCCTCAAGTAGAAAGAGGAAGATTGGCGACAGATGTTAGCTCAGGGCAATCTTCCTCAGCAAAAAAAAAAAAAAAAAAAAATTAAAATAAATAAATAAATAAAGATGAGTCTCTTCAGACTGCCAAAGTACATAATCACCAAATACAAACTCTAAAGATGAGCAGAGGAAGGATTTTCATCATGCCTAAGTTGGTAGGAAGGCTGCCCTCCAAGTGATAAATAATAGGATGAACCAGAACCAATATTTGATATTTTCTATTATCATTTGATATTGAAATCTTGTATAGTGGCACTTCAATATTAAAGAAGAAGAACAACAATAGCAACAACTGTCTAAGATGAAATTTCATTAAGAATTTGCATCAAAGATCTTGATACTAGAAACATGGCCTCATCTCTACAACTTGTTCTTATACCCTATATCTAAAGCAGTGGTTAGCTTATGCTATAGCTTAAAACAATATTTTAAAAAAGAAAACTTGTGATTTATAATCTTTTTGTTTCTTTGTTTTTGCTTTCAACAAACATTTTTAGCGATATATATTACTACCAATGGTCCTTACCCAAGCCATTTTTATCCTGAGGAAAGCCTCATTTCAAATATAATAGCCTACAAGTCCTACATGTACTGTGTAAACAGCACATTAACCCAATTTTTCAAAATGGAAAAAAATTGTACTATAAATCACAAAGCAAATCATCCTACTGAAGATGAAATAAGACTAAAAATCAGACTCCTTCTGAGCTCTAAGACTGCAACTTAATGACTGAGCAACTAAATTAAGATGACTCACCCCAAAACTCTACAAGTGTCCATAATATGTTAAGAGCTACGTGGGACCAAGACAGGGTCTCTAAGAACTAAAAGAATTCACTCTAATGAACAAATAGAGCAGTGCCTCAGCACATTCCAGGCACTTTCAGAGCCAGAGCAGCTTCTAGAGGAAGTGTTTTTCCATATTCCCACAATCTCCTAGAAGAGGACAGAGTATTACCAGTGTAGCATAAAAGCATTAACCATTACTGGACATT